AACACTGGAGTACAAAAGACATCCATAAGCCTCAGAGAGAATGGCGACTACCAACACAGCTGCAAGCTACTTTACGCTTAACCCTGGCGGCAGCAATGGAACTACCCATACTAACGGTACTTCCAACACCAACGGCACATCCCACGCCAATGGAATATCCCACACCAACGGTACATCCCACACCAACGGTACATCCCACACCAACGGATCGTCCCATATAAATGGCAAGATATCGAAAAACCTTCCAATCGTGATAGCTGGGGGTGGTTGTGTCGGCCTTTTCCTTGCTCTTCTTCTGGCTCAGTCGGATATCCCTAACAAAGTCATCGTCATCGAACCCGAGCAACCTGACCCCAGCTCCACACGAGCAATGGCCCATCAGCCACCGACTTACCCGATATTCTCAAAAGTAGAAGGATTACTGCCAGAGTTAATCAAGACTGGAAGTTTGAGCTCAGGATTGTGCTTCCGAAACAGTTTGCAAAATGGAGACAAGATTATCGCTGAAAAGACTTTTGACAATTCAGGAGAGGGAATGAAGGGAAAGGGACAGCTTTTGTTGCCCCAAGGCAAGTTTCAGCAAGTACTCATGAAAAGATTGGCTGCTTTGGATGAAAAGGCGGAGATTCGCATCGGGGTCAGTGTCACTGGATTAAGACCATCACGGGACAGTGTTGATGTCAAGACGACGCCTACGCCTACCTCTTCACGCCTTGGGATCGAATGGATAGAAGCAGCATATCTCATCGACGCATCTGGAGCGCACTCTACCATCCGAAAAGAGCTCGGTGTCAAACTAGAAGGCGAGACGCTCGCAGCCCAACTCGTAGCCACAGATCTATACTTTGACTTCCACAGCCACGGCTTCTACGACGCAAACTTCATCATCGATCCACGGAGCTACGGCCTCATCGGGCGCATCAGCCACGCAACAGACTCGAAGCCACCTCTATGGCGCGTATCCTACGGTGTGCCTCTGAGCACCACCGAGGAAGAAATCAAGAAAGACGTAGACGAAAAGCTCCGTCTCATGCTCCCCAACAAAGGCAGAAACAGCGAAGGAGCCATCGCCTACGAAATTACCCGAATAGCACCGTACAAAGCGCAACAGCGCCTCGTCGAATCCCTCTACCACGCCTCCTCACACACCTGCCTCGTAGGCGACGCCGCACACCTAACGAACCCCTACGCCGGTCTCGGTCTCGCCTCCGGCATGGCCGACGCTTCCTCCCTCGCCGAAGTCCTAATCCACATCATGAGCGACAGAGCACTCAACGAAGAGCGGCTACTGAAGTCATGGTCGGATGCCCGACGCGAAAAGTTTCTAAGCGCAATCGATATGCCGTCGCGTATGGCGTATCAGCGCGTCAAGACAGATGTCAGTTCCGATGAGAAGATACACGAGTTCATGACCAGGGATCCGCTGGTCGGCGCGCTGAACAAGGGTATGCCCGTGCAGCCACCGAGTTTGGAGACTAAAGTGCACGAGTTGGAGGGGTGGTGATTGGGGCGCGTTTATACCGGTAGATGTAGGGATATAGTAACAATGTTTAACTAGTCGTTATAGTGCTAGTTTTAAAATCTTTCCAAGTTATTATTTTGGGTACTTTTGTAACCTTCCCCCTTCTCATTTCAGATTCGTTATAAGAAATGTTAAAACCCCGCATACTGCCCACTTCCGAAACTCGCCTTGTTATTCTTACAACTACAAATGTGTTACTTTTTTTCGTTTTTCAAAAACTCCTCATGAGTTTGTTTTTTTATAGTCATTACGGGGGGGTATTTAAACATTAAAGCAAGTCATCATCGTACCAACTACCCTGATGGTACATACCCTGGGGCAAAACATCGTCTGCAATAACTGAATTAATAAAGGGGGTCCACTGCTCCGTGTCGCGCTTCAGATCCTCCAGCGTCTGTCCGCGTCGCTCTCGCGCAGGTACCTGCTGTTGCTGCTCTTGCGGCAGCGGCGGTAAGGGCGCAGCCGTCCTCGGGGGTGCCTCCGAATGCCTAATCATCTTCCTATACGCGAGCTGCGCCAGCGCAACGGGATCCTGATCGGGGGTAAAATACTCAAGATAGTCTTGCAACTGAGGTACGGGGTTGCTCTCCGGGTAGCCCTCTACGCGCCCGGTTGAATGCTGGTTCCACGAGCAAAGCACAGTGTGTAGTTGCATGCCTTGGACTATGCGCCTCCACTCGTAGGAGATGACGGGGCGCTGCAGGAGGGAGTGGATGACGTTGCTGTGGATCCAGTCGGACTCGGTGAGGCCTTGCTTCTCCATGTGGTGCGCGAGGTGGTTGCAGCGTTCGGTCCAGTCGGAGCTGAAGTGGCAGCAGAAGCCGCAGCCCCAGCCCGTTCGCGTCATGCGTTCTTTGCGTGCGGAGAGCATGTGCGTTTTCTTGTTCCATTTCGTGGTCCCGCTGCAGGGGGCGCAGCGGTGCGATTGCACGTGGTGTGCTGTAAAGTCTTTGTCCAGAAAGTAGATTGCGGGACAGAGATCGCATTCAAACATCTCGGGGCGCTCTTGGTAGGTTTCTTCATGGCGCTTCCAGTCTGCTTTTTCGACGAAGGGTTTCTTGCAGCTTGTGCAGAAGTACTTGTGCGATTTGGTGCAGGTTCGGGATTGTTTGTGGGCCGAGACGCAGGTTTTGAAGTAGTCTTTTTCTTGCACGAGGGGCTTCCGGGATGGTCGCCGCTTTGATGTGATGGAACTGGTTTCTTCTATGGGGCTCGAGAAATAAGAGGACGAGGCTGATGGACCGTGACTTAGGGCATACTCGGTCTGTAGGACATGTTGGTCCCGACCCATGCCAGATGTGCGGGACCATGAGGAGGATGACGATACTGAATCTCGGAAGGAGAGGTCTGAGAATGCGCTTGTTTGTGACGATCGTAAGCTTGAACCTGCTGAAGAGAAACTTGAGACGGAGAGGTGTTGTGCGTGAGGAAAAGACCGGGATGGGATATCTGTGTTCGACCAATGGCCATTGTGCTGACCATGACCACCTATACATATTGTTAGCCTCATTGGATACGGACACGCTGCAGCGATGATCGCGTGGAATATACCTGTAGAGCCCTGGTTGTAGCCATGAAACTGCAGCTGTTGATTTTGCAGGTGCGGCCATCTAGGCTGCACACCCTCGAATGAATCATCTTCCAGACCATTCGTCATATCGTACATGTATTGCGAGCCAGCGCTGAGATCCCTGTAACCATTCATTATGTTACAGATGAAAAGAAACAAAGTCAAAAAGCCAGATAAGTATGCTGATGCGCGGAGCAGAAAGAAAAACACATTAGGAAATCATCTGCCGCGGCAAAAAAAAAGACCTGCATCGTCATTCATATAGTAGGCTGCAGCTGTTGGCCGTAGGCAACCAGAAAGATAGACCAATTTGTGCTGTCAGAGGCCGTGAAGTTCACCTGAAACACGGCGAAGGCCCGCTGACATCTGTTGTTCGGGGGGCCCGTGTTTCGAAACATTCGCCACCGAGGACTCAACACGACGATAATTGGCGGGTTCGCGCATCTAGGGAATGAATGCATGCATGCCTGTATTCCCACCTCGGACGCAGTGCGTTCACCGGTCTAGACGGAGGGAGGCGGTGCAGTTGCGGTTGGTTGTGGGGCTGAAGGCCGAAACACAAACTAGCGAGGGAGGCTGGACGATGGGCCAATAGTCAAGATTCAGCCTAGCTACAACCCGTATAAACCCTCTGCACCCTGATTATCGACAATCTGCAGCGGAACTCATCTCATACGTTTTGTTTCTAAAAGAGAAAGAGTCTGCTCCACACGCTTGGCACAATCGGCCTCATGTCGTCATCGTCATCTCGGTGTTGCTGCGTTGTCGCCTGCCCAATTTCCCCAGGGTCTTGATATCTCTTCGGCACCGAGGTCGTTCTGACTTGTTCAAAGATAGATTAGGATGTTCCGAATCGTTCTGCTCCCAAGATCTAGCATTAGCCCCCTGAACCATCAGCCACCTCCACGGCGGAGTACCAAACCAAATATGGACGCCAAGCATACGTCGGTAATCTTCCTCAGCCACACCCATATTCTCCTTATCCAATTCCGTTGATCATTGATCCTGCTTCCATCTTGATGTTGTCGCTTACTCTGGGTCACTTCCTCGTCACAGTGATTGTTCTTGTTCTCCGATGTAGTGTACGAGGGTCCATCGTCGAAATTCTCACAACGCTCTCCATCTTCTTGGGGCGTATGGGTACCATCAAAGTCGGCGAAGTGATCCACGCCATCTTCAAAGGTCACCTCAGAAGGTGTCCTTATAGATGGCATTGTCGAAAAGGATGAGCTGCATGAGTGTACCATTGTGTTGTGTTTGTGTTGTGGCTGGGTGTTCCTAGGTATGAATTCGGACTGATTTCGATTTTGAATAAAGCCACTGTCGAGTTTTGGTGCCGAACCGTTATAGAGAAGGGGTCATGTGGTAGGATCTGCTTATGTTCAGTAAGAACGCGTAAGCAAGCGCGTCAATGTACAGGGGATGTCAAGATTATTAGTGAATCACCGATTGTAGTCTGCTGGTCCTTGTTTCTCAGTGAGCCTGCAATGGTACCTCCGTGTCTTCCTTCCTGATTGCCATTCCGTAAGCTCGTGCTCGCTTTGCGCTCCAATGGGATGCGTCGCTAAATAAGCTTTTGGTTCCGTGGGTACATCAGGGCGTCATGACAGAAGTTTCTGGGCGATAGCCTGCGAGTCTGTTCACCCTTAATACTGAAATCGAATCGAATTTTGAGCTAATCTCATTTTCAATAGTCTAGTCACATGACCGACGAAGAAAAGGGGGTTGACATGAAAGGTTTCTGGCCTAGGCGGCAGCGATCAAAGTATAGCACATTACATATGTTCTTCTCATATATAGCGAAGCCTCAGTAATCATCCAGTCGTTGCAAGGCAATCATTTTCTCGCCCCAAGGTTGCAATGTAAGGAAGGACAGAATCTGTTATACATATTTGTAAATACCGTTGCTCATTGCTTGAACATTCGAGGGATTGGAAGGAAATGGTCTAGTCGCCTGGCTGTTGTTGCCAACTCATTGTCCCATGAATGAATGTGTTCCTTCAGGAATGATGTCCAGTCTCGGATCTTGTGCAATTCTAAGCCAACGAGCGCAGTGTCAAGGGCCGACCGAGTCTCATGGGAGAGGCTGGAGTTTGAAAAGTCCAGACTCTTGATCACGCCGTGATGCACCTTGATTTCAATGCCGATGTCATCTTTGGGATCAAGTGTGAGAGTAAACGCTGGGGTCTGTGACCACATCCACTCTTCAGACTACGGCTATTAGCATTGAGAATGATGAACTGCAAAGTTTCCAACATACCCGGAGCTCGTCGTAACCCTTGCGGATATCTGGAATATCTAGAAAATCGTCCCCAACGGTCTGTCCTATACTCGGCGATCCCAGTCCAGCATACATGAGAGAGAACTCTTTTTGCAGGTGGAGCTGAAATGTCTTGACGTCTAGACCAATGTTTGAAACAGGCGAGCTGACGCTTTCCACACCTTGAGCGCGGATGACACCCTTAGCTGGAGAGCGGAGGTAATGTGGTATGATGTGTAAATTCGGGGAGCTCAGCAGGGTGGTCGCGTGATGGAGGGCGCGTTGCCGTGTGAGCTTGTACGCCGAGCCAGAGACCTTGAGAGGACGAGGGAGAGCTCCGTTCTGTATGGTATAAGGCGTGCGATGGGTGTCTTTGGGGTCAACAGGTTGCCCGTCGTTGCCTTGACCTTGATCGAGAACGATATCGTGACGCTCGTTGACCCTGGAGCGTTGAACACCGAGTTTTCGTAGTGCGCGGACGACCATTTCAGCATGCTTATCGCGTGTGAAGTCGGCGCGTGGGCACGTTATGCTCCAATTGAGATTTCCCTCATCGTGGAAGACAGTGCCTCCTCCCGAGCGGCGGCGCACAAGATCGACGGTGCCAATGCCTGGAGGCTCGCTATCCTTGGGGTCATGTGTCCTACGAGCAGCATCTAGGATGCCTAGATTGACCTCTGACCATGGGTTCTGGTTGCGCCCGATGACGACACAGGGTCGATTGATATAGAGGAAGAGAATAGTGCTGTCTGGCGGGCTTTTGCGTAGGATGTGGTCTTCGATGGACAGATTGAGGTAGGGGTCGCTACTGGCAGAGACATAGCTTTGCAGCTTATTGGCAGGATCGGCGAGAGTGTCTGTAAAAGTCGAGTAGGAGCATCGTTGGAAGCTGCTCAGCCTGTAGTGCGGCGGACGGAAAAGACGTGTCTGGCTGATAGGATTGCGCGACGCCCTGTCGGCTGAGAGCGAAAAGTAGTTCCGATGAGGGGGGATGACATATTCTGAGAGCAACTTTTGGGCGCAGGAAATAGCGCGGCCTCTCGATGGGGCCATGATGATGGGGAGGGGGGATACGATGTGCCTTTGTCCTGTTGTACCTCGTTAATGAGATCCCCGCGGCCAGGTGCCTGGATGCGCGTTCAGAACATGCAGCTTTGTCGCGTCACCTAACATTTTCCAAATACACTCCAGTCGATATTTTCCAATTGCATCGGGAACCATATATTGAGGTCTCATCTTTGGTATTGCTATCTTTCCAGGCTCACAATAGATTCCCACCCTGTTCCAATTGATCCTGGTCGTTGCATGCCAAGACAACCAGCCACCCTAACCATGAGCGGGAGATCTCCTTGCTCTTCTCCTTGTTCATGACACCAACAACAAATCTTACAGCTCATGAGCATGGCTATCGCATATGTTTCCGCGATGATGTTCATGTTACACGCGTTCTCTCTGCATGTGAACCCGTCATCTAGTTCCGCCAGCGACGCGTGCCCGCGTGACACGCTCATCATCGCGCCACCATCGCACGGCAGCCGCCACTAATACCTACGCAATTCTATCTTGTAGTCAACATCGGGCGTTACACACTCGTAGTCCTCGGGCTTCATGTGTGGGTTCAGCAGCTCGGGCTTTCCCTCCATCTTTGGATGATTAGCTGCTGGACAAAGGCATCACCCAAGAATAAGGCTTTGCGGTCCCGTGTCTACCATTTGCTTTGCAACTGCTGCTGACCCGTGATTGCAATGCTGTGAGCCTATCTGGCGTCTTTACCCTGTCATTGCATCCTCTTGCCTTCTGGTCTTTCAGATCAGTGAGATATTGACGGGCGCACGGCATAGGTGGGATTGACGTTTCGTTTCAGCTCATACAAAATCCATTGATTCTGTAGCGATCCATTTCCTTTGCCAATTTTCTTTTGCCAATTTTTTTGCCAAAAAGGCTGTATTGGTAACTTTGTTTGCCTAGATAGTCGAGTGCTTAGCTCTGTATTGCGAAAGAGATGTTGATTGGTACTGTCCTACCACAACGTGATCAGTCTTCGCAACGACTAGGCGACTAGGCAGCCATCTTGTTCAAACCATCTAACCTCATCTTCTACCAAACCAGGTACAGCGCTATATAGAGCCATGGCCTTCCTTTCACGCGAGACGTTTCAGAAAGACTATCTTTTCCCGCTTGAAGCAGTACATGACTTCGAGAATGCTGGTAGCGCGGCTCAGTTGGCCGCCTGTCATCCGAAAGAATGGACGCAAGCAGACAATGTTCTTGACTTCGGTGTTCATCTAAACGAAAGCGACAAGCGTAGCTACGCATCCTATTGCACGACCATCAGCTCCGATAAAAAGTTGCTGGCCATCAGCACATCCACAGAGAAGATATTAGTTTATGACATTGCATCCCAAGAGCTACGAGAGACCCTCGAGGGAACTGGACAAGTCTACTTTCGACCTTTTGTAAATACGAAACCAGATACTGGAATTGCTGACCAGACTCACAACAAATATGCTGCACGCTCTACTGGTTATACCCTTGTGAGCGTCTCAGCTACAGGACGAAACAAGGCATCAACACCCAACCAGCTAATTCTCTGGGATCTGGACCAACACGGGCGCATCCTTGACAAAGAAGAAGGGATCGACGCTAACGCTCTTGCCACAAAAGCAATCAATGCCATTGCTCCAGAACTGGAAAGGCGCCATGAATGGACCCAAAACTTTATCCATACTTCCACACTGCACGCCATGTTTGCAGAGGCACTGAATCAAGTTGCCACAGACTATCGCACGCGGCACAATACCATTTTTGATGACGCACAACTAGGAGCCTTTGGTTCGGTGTCTATGAGCAATGATGGCAGGTTGTTTTTGTACCATTCAAACAACAATTCAACCCAGCAAGGTTCTCGTGAGCCAGACGAACTACCACAGGTGGTCGTCTACGATTTGGATGAAGGCATCGAACTCCATCGTCTTACTGGACACACTGATGCTATTATGTGGTCTGCTATCAGTCCGGACAGCACTCACATTGCATCTGTATCCTGGGATGGTAGTTTACGCGCATACTCTGCCCTTACTGGAAAGCTTGAGTGGGCTGTCGGATGCTCAAAAGAGCAAAGCTGGGCAGGTGCATTCTCGTCGGACTCGCGTTTCATTGCCTGGACCTCCAAATGTGGTCAGGTCGTTCAGGTACACGATGTGTTTGATGGAAAGAAGCTCGCCACTTTTCCAGTAAAGCTATCGGACTGGTGCAGATCTCTCCAGTGGCATCCTCGTAAGGCTCAACTTGCTTTTTGCGCTGGAAAAGATGCTTATCTGTGGGATGTCCTCGATGGGCCTGACGGCAAAATGTTGCAACACTTTCAGATTGACGAAGACTGCGGCACGGGCAGTCGAATGGTCTCCATTCAAGATATTGGTTGGATGGATCGAGAGCCCACGCTGTATCTCGAAATCTCAGAGGGAACAAAGATTGTTTACAATAATGAGAGTAACGCCAAAGAGATGTTCAGACGACCTGCTGGTGTTACGACGGGGTACGTTGATGGCGGGATGTACGGAGTCTTCTCGAATGATGCAGGAGATGAGTACTATATCAGCATTGATGGTGATGCAAAGGTGCGGTACTGGCGACGAGGTATCGCTGCCTCCACATCTTGGTGGGAGAAAGATCCTGGCCCTGTAGCCAGTCCGAAAAAGATATTCCCCGATACTGGAAAGTACGTTAAGATTGTCAGATCCGCCAGTAAATCTACAGAAAAACAGTAGGAACAGGGAGATGAATGGGTTGCAGTAGGCGTAATGGTCTCAACTACCAAGGTAATTACTTAGTGATTGCGTTGGCGATGTCATCTGGCTTTCATCCGATCGCGATAGCTGCTTTAATGATCGATTATCAATTCCTTCGCTTCTCTCGTGACATGTTGTGAACTTGTATTTTCGTCCGCGAAATCCTGATTGCTAAGAGAAAAAACCAGGCCCAGTCAACTGCAGCATCACGAGTTCAATTTATCGCGATCCTAAACGCGGCCAATTATGCGGAGCTCGGCACAGACACGGTGCTCAATTGCCATGTCTTGAGTAACGACGAGGTCCGAACACCGATGCATATAGCACCAGTAAACTGAAGTTAATATCCACGTCAGCGCTATTCCCAAAAGCACAAATCGGATCGTGCTCAAGACGCAATTCGGGTGCCCGGCGGGGAATCGAAGATGGGCAAGTCATTGTGTTATGTGTGTATGTGTGTGTGTGTGTGTGGATGGGGGTGGCGCAAGAGCTGCCACGCGGCTGGCCAGCAAAGGCGTTCCGGACCGTGTAACCGTCGCCGTGCCTCCATCTCCAACCTTTCAGGCTGAACCCCACACCGCCATTCGCTTAGCCCCACGCCGTGCGGCTCACGCTGCTGCTCAGGCCTGTGTATATGAAGTGCCCACGACCGGTGAATGCTCCCTGAAAATCCCTCACTATCTTTTGTTCCCTGTACACGCTGGCCGGGGTTCTGCTTTCGAGGTCTGCTCGAGCTTGCGTTCATTTCTGTCGTACTAAAAGAGTACTGGCGAGCTGTGTTCGCTCTTTGATGGTCCCAACTGACCAGCACCAAAGTCTCCTTCTCGTATTGTAGACTGCACTGGCTGCAAAGCTAACGGCGTTGTGGCTGCTGCGCATTCTCGTCCTGCATCGCACCCGCAATCCACTTGTATTCTGCTGTATCACTAAAACACAGTAAGCTATGCCTCCTACGCCATACCGGCACTTGTGTCTTATATAACCAACCAGCCCTTTGCGGTACCAAAAAGAATACCGTCAACGCTATAGACACCACTCATGCCTGCCCCTTCAGCCATGCTACGACCAACGGAGAATGGCGAGCGATATGAGCTCACCAGTCCAACCGAGATGCCCAAAGCCGGTGCATTTCTTTGGAATCAGCGTATGATGATCCAGGTGACTTGTCGTGGATTCGCGACCGCCCAGTACATGCAACCCGAACCCGCCAAATACGCCTATGCACCAAACCTCGAAGCAAAGACGTTTATGCAACCCGAGCAAAATTACTACGCACATCATCCAGGCCGCTTTGTTTACATCAAAGACGAAGAGACTGGCGATCTCTTTTCGGCTCCATATGAGCCAGTCAGAGCAAAGCCAGATCGATTCGTCTTCAATGTTGGCAAGAGTGACATCAAATGGACTGTCGAGAAACTTGGTGTTCGCGTCGACATGACGTTTCTTCTTCCCACAGATCACGTTGCTGAGCTATGGAGTATCAAAGTCACCAACATCTCCGGCCGTGACCGGAAACTAAGTATTTACCCTTACTTTCCTCTTGGATACATGTCCTGGATGAACCAAGAAGCACAATGGGACGAAAATGTTGGAGGTATTGTTGGCAGTTGTAAAACGCCATACCAGAAAGCAGAAGATTATCCAAAGACAAAATATCTCAAGGACAAGACGTATTTCCTTTGTGAAACAGCACCAGTAGCGTGGGAAGCCAGACAAGAGTCGTTCGAGGGTGAGGGAGGACTACAATCGCCATCATCGATATTGGAGCCGGAACTTTCAAAAAGCGATGCGCGTTACGAAACGCCAACCGCAGCTGTGCAGTATCGAGCTCAACTCAAGGAGAACGAAAGCAAAGACTACCGATTCCTTTTTGGCCCTGCATACGACGAAGCTGAGATTCTGGAGATGCGTAAGACGTATCTCAGTAAGATTGCGTTCGCCCAAGCCACCAAAGACTACGAAGACTACATTCAGCGAGGTAGTGGCTGCATTCGTTTGGAAACCCCAGACAAGGATCTTGACAACTTGGTCAACAACTGGCTGCCGCGGCAGCTTTACTACCACGGCGATGTGAACCGTCTGACGACCGACCCGCAAACGCGAAATTATCTACAAGACAACATGGGCATGAGCTTCATCAAGCCCGAAGTAGCTCGGAAAGCAATTCTGACCGCAGTGGGCCAACAAGAAAAGAACGGCTCGATGCCAGATGGTATCCTGCTAGCCAAAGGCGCAGTCCTCAAATACATCAACCAAATCCCTCACACCGACCACTGCGTCTGGCTCCCAATTGCTCTCGAAATCTACCTAAACGAGACAGGCGACTACACTATTCTGGACGAAAAAGTCAGCAGCATGTACGGCGACACCTACACCGTTTTCGAGCGCTTCAGCCGCGCAATGGACTGGCTCCTCTCCTCCAATGCCCGCGATGACCGCGGACTCTCCTACATCGCCCAAGGCGACTGGTGCGACCCCATGAACATGGTCGGACCCAAGGGCATTGGCGTCTCCGGCTGGCTCACCGTCGCAACCGCCTACGCCGTGAACCTCTGGGCGCAAATCTGCGACGACGCCTCCAAACCCGACATTGCAAAGAAGTACCGCGCCGGCGCCGAAAAAGTAAATCAGTCTGCTAACGAGCATCTCTGGGACGGCGACTGGTACGCGCGTGGTATCACAGATGACAATGTTACGTTTGGAATCAAAGACGACAAGGAAGGTCGTATCTGGTTGAATCCCCAGGCCTGGTCGATTCTCGGGGGTGCAGCGTCGCAGGAGCAGATTTCGAAGATGCTCCCGCAGATTGACGAGCAGCTTACCACGCCATACGGCGTCGTCATGTTCGGCCCGCCATTCACAGCCATGCGCGAAGATGTCGGTCGCGTGACGCAAAAGTACCCAGGACAAGGTGAAAACGGATCCGTATACAACCATGCTGCCGCCTTTTACGCATGGGCTCTATACACGATTGGCGACGTCGATCGCGCGTATAGCACCCTCCGCGCTATGATTCCGGGACCCGACGAGCAGGATTTGATTCGGAGGGGTCAACTTCCTATTTTCATTCCCAATTACTATCGTGGTGGGTACGGGATTAAGCATCTGGATCGTACGGCGGGCCGCTCGAGTCAGCTGTTCAACACGGGAACTGTGAGTTGGGCGTATCGATGCGTCATTGAGGGGTTGTGTGGTTTGCGGGGTGTCAAGGAGGGATTGAAGATTGAACCCAAGTTTCCGAGTGAGTGGGATGAGATGAAGGTGAGGAGAGAGTTTAGGGGCGCGGTGTTTGATGTACAGGTTAAGAGGGGGAGTGTGGACAGTGTGAAGGTGACGGTGGATGGGGAGAAGATTGCGGGTAATGTTATCAAGAATGTGGAGAAGGGGAGGACGTACAAGGTACAGGTTGAGGTGCCGAGGGCGAGCAAAAAGAAGTATGGGGTTTTGACTAATGGGCATGGGACGAATGGGACGAATGGGACCAAGTAGAAGTATGTGAGGGATTCGTAATTTTTTAGATGAGTTGACTACATTACGTTTTACGAATGACAAAAGTTAAGACAGCAAGTAGGACAGGATTAATCATGTTCTATTCAAAGCCGTGTCTTCCTCGCCCACCTGTTTATTGCGAGAAGAACATGGTTATGCTATTATCCCACGCACTATCCGCCACCTCCTCAACACTCAATCCCTTCAGCCCAGCCACCACAAGCGCCACCTTCTCCATACTACAACTCTCATTTCTTTCCTTAACCATATCCGCCAAACTGAACTTATCCTTCTTCTTACTCCCCCAACCCCACTTCGTCGCATTCTGCAAATAAGCCTTTGCAACCTCACTCGACGCTTGAATCTCGCCCCACGGCGCATCCGTCTCAATCTGCAGCTTCTCAAGCGGCACATGCCGAATCATCTCCAAACTATCTCTATCCCGGAACGCAAAATTGTTAACACTGACATGCAAGCCCATGCCAACGAGCTTTTGCATCTGCTGCGTAGTCCCCACAAACGAATGCACGAGGCCAGAGCGTAGGGGAAGCCGCTCCCAGTACGACTCGAGGATAGAAACGAAATCTCCAAAAGCAGCGCGACAGTGTAGGAACAAGGGTAACTTCCATCCCGCGTCCACAAGCATATCGAGCTGGCGCTTGAACACGCGAATTTGCACTTCTTTAGGGGCGGCAGCTAGCTTATCGTAATCGAGTCCTAGTTCTCCAAAAGCGGCCATGACATGCGGCTCTTGCTCCAAAGTCCGGGAAATAGTTTCGAAGGCCGACGTATAGTATATGTCGCCACCTTCGTCCGCTTCAACAGCATGATACGGATGGATGCCGATAGTAATTTTGCATTGATCTGGCCGCTTGCGGGCGATGGCAATGTTGACTGGTACGTCAGCGGCGTACATGCCTGTCAACATTACTTTCTCGACTCCAGCGGCGAGAGCGCGGTCCAGGACAGCGTCGAAGTCGGGTTCATGGTATTGTTTGCCACGATAGAATCCAGTGAACTCCTTTGCTGTTGCTGTTACAGCGACCTATAGGTTGCGTCACTCCGGGTTACTGCTGTCGTGGTTGACGTGGGGAAAGGGGAGGTTGGGGCATACGTCTGCATATCGAAGTTTTCGTGCAGGTGCAGACGGTGCCTTTGTCGGGAAGCCATCGAGGAGAGATGACATTCTGGCGTCTAGCGATTGGAGACTGTGGGGGTGCGCCTTTCCGGAGATGAGCAATGCCGTGTCGTTGTGGATGCAGATGAGAGAAAGATTCTGGGATACGTAGAGGTTGCGGCTCGAAGTGTCGGAAAGGGACCTTCCGCGTTCGGAATAATTTACGCTCTGGGCATTTCTTGGCTTATGAATCACGTCTTCGCGCCGTCTGAAACTATTTTCTAGTAGACCTTCTTCATGACTTTCTGTGGCCTTGTTTGCAATTTCATTAGGTAAATGAGTTTTGGTGTTAGAATTGCTGGTAAGAATCCATGTACACTGTAATTGAAGGGGTCGGACACCGACGGGACGCCTACCTAAAGGTTCGGACAACGCCCGGTGATAGCATACAATCGGGGTTAGTTTCGAACATGTCCTTGAAGAAGCGAAGCCTGTTGTTGTGGTAGGGTCTTGATTTTGGCTGCAGCAAAGTCACCGCAATAATCTGTAACCAAGTCATGGCCCAGAGGATTCGGCAGATAATCTGATGACCTACTATGTTCTCGTCTCGAGTAACCAGCACATATACCACTAGTGGATCGACAGAGCTAAGTGTAGCTAAAGCTATATTGCCCTTCCTCCAATGTCCCTCGTGGACTGTTAGTATGCAGGTCTGGATAGAGCCAGCGGACAACGTAGAGTGTCGCAAGGCCTAGACTGCACCTTCCAAAATAAATCCGCAGATCAACCGCGACGATCTTTCCCTTAGCTCAATTACCACTACAAATTCATAGGTCACAGCGATTGTGTCCATAGAGCCCTCTTCTATATTCATTCTTCACCTGCCAGAACGAACTCAAACCCCAACCATGGCCATTTGGTTTACGCAGTGCACTGCCAGGCTCAGAAGGTAGCCCGCCAGAATGTATTTCGGGATCAACTGACGTAATCTTGTATACACAGTACACTGCCAAAGTAGTTGTAGATCGACTAAAGCGAACGTGTATCAATTACCTTACAAACTGAGGTCCTTGGGCGTGCCTGGCATAAGGCTTTCATCTCGTTTTGTTGTGCGGTATCAAGTCGTTACTGAACAGCCTCGAGACGAAGCGGGTTCATTCGTGAATATGAGCCTTTCCCCTCAGTACAGCTCATACACAATCCTCCGACGTGACGTCGTTAATCGTACGACTATGCAAGGACGCAGCTTGTGCCTGATTCATATTGGAGCGACCACCCTCATAAGGAAATTCAGAATCTCAGCTGCCTTAATTGACTGCTCCGACGGAAATGCCAAGTGCGTGCCTGGTAAGTGTAAGTGAACTCATGATAACGACCACGTCGAGGACCAGGCAACTATTTGGACCGTAAAACGCATGTAATCAGCGCAGCTCAAGGCTACCCCTACTCCATAGTGGGGCGCCGTTAAGCATTTAGGGGCTAGTACTACTTAAGCAGGCGTTTGCTGAGCTTGATCACGAGGCATGTCGGATGGAATAGGGTCGGTTCGCACATCTCCGGGCGTCGTCCTACCCAAAGCCATGACACTCTACGTATTTTTTGGTTCTCCAACGCCACAAATATATCAACTCTGGGTATGTCACCATCAGAATAAAAAGGCTGAACTCAGGAACGAACTTGAGAGGTTTGTATAAGATTTCGTGGTATCGCAATCAGGGTACGTGCGGGAATGCATGCACAGATACCGGACAGGGCTACGGGTGATTGCTCCATCCAGCCGCCCCCATCTCCCCTGCTCGCCGCGATCGCAATACTCCGCCCCGCTTTACTCTTTCCCCTTGATCGTCCCCCCCGTCCATTTTTCCTCGTCATTCCAATTGGTCCTATGTATACCTGTCGTATTACACATAGTCACACATTTTTGCCAGCAACTCCATACCGGACGAGCAAGTAATTAGAAAAAAGTAAGCAACACGAGCTCTTACCATCACGCCATTTCAAAAGAAAAACCCAACAGCATTGCAATCACCGATTTACTCGTAGCCAGTAAAAGACAGGTGCAGGTGATTAGCTAAATGACTGAGCTGGTAATGATCGTCGTATACAAGATGGTTTAACGAGTATAGTAGTAGTCGCCCCCATGGCGACAACTTGAACAGCTTTTTAGCGATTCGGCTGTTAGTCTCAAGTTTCACCAAGAGGGGAAACGTGCAAGACGATCGGCACTGCGAGGTTGGGTGGGGGTCGAGCCAATGACGCGCCGCCCCATGTCGGCGCTGCTATCTCACTAGGCGCGTTGTCGATATTGCAAGCGATAAAGGGCTTGGGACTTGGCAACCGGGACATATGTTTAATCGGGAAGGTAAAAATTCCAGAGGCGTGTATGGGCGTTTCTTTCTAGTCTGCGATTATGTCCATGCCGGGTTTATGAGCCTGAGCCGCTTTGGTCCACATGACACACAGCCCTAACCGACATGTTAACTACTGCATATCTTCTATCATATCTCTACCTCTCCTTCCTGTTTGGATACTGGGGTAGTACGGTAGGGAGCTTCATGCGTTTTGTTGACTTTCCTGTTAAGATCAGCCGCATCGGCACTTAATTATACCCTAAGGCGAGTTGCCTTGTCAAGTGCCATTTGTGGAGCCGCTGTGTAGGTGAATGTCTTGTCAAATGCCTTTTGTGGTGTAACATGGTAGCAAAATGTCTTGTGAAGTTCCTTTTGGGGACTGCCTTTCCGATACTGTTGCAGCGTGTAGGAAACATCTTGCTGCCGATGAGGAAGGAGGCATTTCGTAGCCGCCAATGCAACCTTGTGCTCTATCTACGACCGACACTGGTAGATCGTGATGCAAGTGACAACGGTAAGAGAGTCGACCATGTATAAATATGAAGCTGTGTTCCTGTCCAATGTCGATACTTCATCAGGATAGCAAGACAAGTCTTCTACAGCCATCCACCTTCACAACATCCACATTTGACTCTTGCGTGTTTCTTCCAGAATCCTGACCATGGAGCTCACCAAATTCCTCGCTGCTCTCGCAGTCTTCCTGCCCATCGTCTACGGTGCCCCTACCGCCGCCGCCAACGACCTCCACCCCGAGATCCTGGCTGCCATGAAGCGCGACTTGGGCCTTGATGCCGACGCTGCTCGTGTCCGCGTTGCCCGCGAGATCCAGGCCACCGAGGTCATTGACCAGCTCCGCGCAAAGGCTGGCAGCGCCTTCGGTGGTGCCTGGCTCGTCGACGGCGAGATCAAGGTCGCCGTCACTGACAAGGCCTTGACCTCCGAGGTCACTGCTGCTGGTGCCACCGCCTTGGTTGTTGACACTCCCCTCGAGAAGCTCCAGGAGGCCCAGAAGGCCATCGACGCCCTCAACGTCCCAACCACCAAGCGCGCAGAGGAGGCTGCCAACGGAATTGCCTCCTACTATGTTGACGTTGCCGCCAACAAGCTTGTCTTCGAGGCCATTTCCAGCGGCACCGCTAAGGCTGAGGAGCTCGCCAAGAAGGTTGGCCTGACTGAGGCTGACTACGAGATCCGCACTGTTGAGGCGCTGCCCACTACCTTCGCCACTATCCGTGGTGGTGATGCCTACTACATTGGAGGCGGCCGATGCTCCGTCGGTTTCTCCGTCACCACTGGTTTCGTCTCTGCCGGCCACTGCGGTCGTGCCGGTACTGCTGCCACCACTAGCGGTGGTACTAACATTGGAACCTTCTCAGGCTCCGTCTTCCCCGGAAGCGGTGACTTCGCTTTCATCCGCGGTAGCAGCGGTAACACCTACCAGGGCAGGATCAACAACTACAACGGTGGTACTCTCCCCGTCTCTGGCAGCACCGCTTCTGCTGTCGGTGCCAGCATCTGCCGCTCCGGCTCCACCACTGGTGTCTTCTGCGGTACCGTCCGCTCCCTTGGCGCCACCGTCAACTACGCTGAGGGCAGTGTCACTGGTCTCACCCAGACCAACGTCTGCGCTGAGCCCGGTGACTCTGGCGGTTCTTTCTACTCTGGTGCTCAGGCCCAGGGTGTCACCTCCGGAGGATCTGGTGACTGCTCCCGTGGCGGAACCACCTACTTCCAGCCTGTCAACGAGATTCTCTCCACCTACGGCCTTACCCTTGTCCGTGGTTAAATAACTCTTTTCATGTCTATACTTGTTTATACCGCTGTTGGAAACGAATCATGTTCGCAGCCCACGCAATTTGTACATATTTCAATCTATCTATATCCATCTAACAATGTGCCTGATGATTCTCGGTGAAGTCGTGAAGTCGTGATGCTTGGCTGCTTAGTGCTGTTTCAGGAAAGGTCAGTGTTGAAGTAAGAGTGTTTGAGAGAACGACGCCTCCACTTCGGGAGCTTTGATAACCCCCTTTAGAGTAGTGTCGGCGAGGTGGGTACAAAAAAAGGGTCAGCACGACGGTTCGATTATAGTACGACAGTTGAGTGGCGTCCAACATCGCACGTGCGTTTCGCGGGTACCTGGCATGAACGAGACCATAGGCCTGTCTACGTTGCGCCATCCGACGCCCCACTTATATCACCCTTCATAGTCAGCAAGGTTGGTGTTCGTAAAGGGTTCAGCGCCTTACGAAATTGCATGTTAAGCTTCGAACAAGTGCTTGATCCTCGACAGGGTTTCGATAACTTCATGGAATATGAAGTATTCCAGCATGGCTGTGCATGTGTGAGTGTTTGGGACCGGTCGCTGCTAGTAAGATGCGCCGCCTCCCTGCGGTGCGATGGAGCCGATGACCCTTTCTCGGGACTAGTGCAATTTTTTTCGTTGACATGTTCTCGTCCCAAACTTCTTCTTCAGTAGCTTTATCGGTATGTGCTGCACCGAGTATCAAAGTGTCGCGCCTCATGCAAAGGCGCAGCCGTGTTCGTCAGTTCATGGCGGTGCTGTACGCGGCTCCCACATGGTGCGGAACCCACGCGTGAGCTAAGCCTGATTGCGCATAGTATACGCAAAATACGAATACGATCTTAGACCAATCACCAATCGTAGACCCACAATCAAGCAGGATTCATGCAGCCGCTATGTCTTTTTGGGGGTAGAAAATGCCATTTGTGGAGCAGGGCTACAGGCTAGATCGTATTTTTGACAGCTATCTTTCCAGTACGTACGGATAGAAGCGAATACGCATACGCGTATTCGTATCCTTGATCAGTCTTCCATGGGGCTTCTCATATGTATATATCGAGATGGCTTGGTCGAGATTTAACTTCATACATCTTTCTCTAGAGCTTTCCAGTGTTGCAATTTCTTTTCTATTCTCAGTCCGCTATCCTTTTCGACATCCTCTGCGAAGAACACGTTCAAGTTATTTTACATCGATTTCTTGATTCCAGCGAATTTACCTAGATCAAAAAAGGTTACCGACGCAATGGCCGACAATGGAGGAACGATCGACTTCAAATTGTATCGCTACAACCCTTCGATGGCTGCTGCTGTCATCTTCACCATCCTCTTTCTTCTCATATCAGGATTACATTTATACCAAATGTTCCGCACCCGGACGTGGATACTCATACCGTTTGTCATCGGCGGCTTCTGTAAGTTATCTTTGCAAGAATTATGCTGTAAGGTATCTGTGACCAACAGCTAATGTGTAACAGTCCAATTTGCTGGCTACATAGCAGTAGGTATTCATTAGAGCGCTCACAATGAAGTGCTAACACTGTGCCAATAGAGAACAATGTCCGCTGCCGAATCACCCAACTGGACAGTCGGTGCATACTCCGCTTCCACCATCCTACTCCTCGTCGCTCCCGCACTGTATGCCGCAAGCGTATATATGATGCTCGGTCGCATCATCCTCGTTACCGACGGCGAACATCGCTCGATCATCCCCAAGCGATGGCTCACAAAGATCTTTGTCGTAGGAGATGTCATTTCATTTCTGATGCAGGGCGCTGGTACGTTGTATACGCACTTTGATGAGTGCTCTCACGAAGAAAGAAAAAAGGTTAATCATCGCGGTCAACAGGTGGTGGCATAATGGCTAGCGGCACAATCAGCGCACTCCATACTGGCGAAAACATCATCATCGGCGGTCTCGTAGTTCAAATTCTCTTCTTCGGCTGCTTCATGGTGACGAGTGTGCTTTGGCACACTCGAATGGCCAAGAACCCTACAACCCGAATCCTCTCCGGATCTATACCGTGGGAGATGCAGCTTTATTCACTCTATGCCGCTAGCATGCTCATTCTTGTGCGATCAGTTTTTCGCCTGATTGAGTATGCGCAGGGCAACAATGGTTATCTGATCTCCCACGAAGTATTCCTTTACATCTTTGATTCGACCCTCATGTTGATTACTATGGCAATTCTGGCATGGATACATCCGAGTGAGATCACGGGGTTGCTGAAAGGCGAAAAGGGAGTCGCGGTGCGCCGTGGTGTGGAAGTATACGACCTGTGTTAGAAGTATTGATTGAGAACGGCCGGATCGAGACCAAAATCGGATTGGATTCCAGAAGAGCACGACAATATGCCTTAGACTCAGTAATTGATGGGCAAAGAATCTTGACATGGCCGGGAGACGTAGTGTTGTCCAGTATATGTTTTTTATATAGTCGTATATGGTGAAATATCTGAAAATTTGATATAAGCATGGTCAAAGCGTATTGTATGTACTTGGATCGATTTCTACAATATTTTTTGCAATAGATCAACATATATTTAGTCTTGCTGAACTGAAATTGCAGCCGTGTTGGCCCATTGCATCAGGTCCGCCCAGTCTGGATGCTTGTTGGAGACGGATCGTGAAAGACTCTCAATCAAGCGAACTCCGGTGTTCATGCCCCACCATCTCTCGCGAGTGTAGAGCAACAAGGCGCCGTAGTGGATAAAAATCAGTTGTGCCATAGGATCTTCCTGCTTGAAAAGGTCCAGTAGTGTCCCGCCGACTGTCGTTGGCCATCCAATGATTTCACCAAGATAGGTTGGATCTTGGTTCATCTTCCCGAAGATTGCTTCCAAACTTTCGATTCCCACAAGATAGGACCTGTGTCGCTCAGCGTCGATGGAGCTTTGAATACTATTTGCTCTCTCCCGAAGTCTCGCCAGTGCGGTGGCAACTTCATCGGCAGGCTTAGGAGGGGGAGGGGGAGCAGGATAGATAAATGGAGCCCATAATGACTCGTATTTTGCAAGATGTATCGTGAAATCCTCACGGCTGCGTATGATGAATCGCAACCCTTGAAGAAGCTCAATCAAAATCACCACGCTTTCCTCACGAGAAGACTGCTCGGACGTTGGACAGATATTGGGGAAAGCGAGAGCCAGTATGTTCAGGATAACAGAAAAAGCGAATAAGGCGCATCTGTTCGCATCGGTAACGCAGTTCAACGCATCCCTGAATCCTTTTAGTGCAGAGGCGTGATAATGCATGGCGATCTCGCTGTAAGCAAGCCTAGAATCTGGACATTTCCAGGCATAATGAAGGGAAGACAGCGCTAAGATGCCGTCAAGAAGAAACTCATGATGAACCGCGTCATCAGGTACAATCTGTTGCCAAACGTGCATATCTTCTTTGCCATGTGATACCGTTTCAGATGTCGACGTGATGTAGTGAGCCATCAGGTGTAATTCCTGGGCTCTTGTGACAGTAATGGGCCTGTGTGTTTTATTCGGTTCTCCAGAAAAGTTTTCACTCCTGCTCTCCGAAATACTGCTTCTGGAAGAGACTTCGTCTGGGGCGTGCGGAGATTTGTAAACGCATTGCACGCGGCGGTTGGTGCAGTTATTGCATGAGGGTGACTCTTCTCCACACTGGGTATCAAAATAAGTTTATGCGACTCAAACTTTTTGCAAAGAAATGGAGTTTTTTTTCACTCATGAGGCATGACAGTACCTTGATGTGTCTTTTTTTGCATGGCAAACAGCCAAATCGAGATTTTGAATGTGATTTTCGGAGTGGCATTGCGTGAAGTCGTCTTCAGCGAACATCGGATATGAAAAAGTAGATATCTCTTAAGCTTGATGAGTTTTTCGAGATGTAGGCTTGATGCGGAGTGTTGACCATGAAGAGTCTGACCACTTGTAGCTCGAGGTGGTAGCTCTGCTTAGGTAATGGAGCGCTGATACATCACGTGCATCATTGGTTTTACCATGCACACAAGATGCCGTTCATCGTTTGCCAATACAGTGTATTGACTTCTCTGAGAAGATTCTGCCACCAACACCTGCAATTATTATTCGGACCCTTTATGTAGAATATCGTAGTATTCTTTCGAGAATACAAAAAAGTTATCTCATGCAGCTGGTGAAATGATCGGCTGACGCAGATTGGATACTTATATTTGTTCCTTGGAGAGGCGTAGAGGGCTATACCTGCTTAGTCGCATAAGCCAACATCCAAACTGTAGGACATTTAGTAAGAGTTATCTGAGGGGAGGTTGAGGGGTTAAGCCAACATCAATCTACCACTCATTGGTTGTTATTAGCTCCGGTGAAAAGCCTGCATCGTCTGCTGACTTGGACGACCGAACAGTGCCATAATGGGTTCGATAACAAATCGGTATGGGAAGCGAACAAGAAGCAGCAGGCCAATGCGAAATATGGACAAGTGACACATAAGGCTTGTGGCGAATCGAAATCATGGGCATCAATCTGATGTAAGCAGGTTGTAACAAACTTACCATCCAAAGAAGGCTGAAGGTACATGAATTGTGTTTCACATTGGCAGGTAAAGCTTGATTCCGAACACGCTAAGCTCGCAAAGACCCTGAAATTTGCTGGATCGCTGGTGGTCTGCAAAGAAAGTGATTCTCGTCGCGAATACAGCATACACAGTAGTGTCATCAGCGTCTACGACTGAGATCGCGTATGCTCTCATCGCTGGCTTCTAGTTAAATTTCTTTGTTTGGTTATTAGCTTCCAGATGTCTATTGCATACAGAGTCTTCTGCTGTGAACTAATTTTCCTTCCTACAAAATCGAGTAGTGGAGCTGATTGGGCCAACTTATGTACGCTTATATTTTGCCGCCGTTGCAGCGCAAGATAAACCTTTTCTAGAGCGCATGCTCCATGACAGTATACTTTGCTAGTTGTTTTGAGACAATTAGAGAGCGTATCTAAGGACCAAGCAGTTCCAATATCTCTTAATAATGTTGTGCACGTGATGCATATTTTACCGCAAACCAGCAACAGGGGTCTTGGATAAATTTGTGGGTGTCATCACAACACCGGGTCTGCTTCCCTGGTTGGCTTACAAGTCTGGTGCGGAGTGCAACACATTAAGTGCCTGTAGTATAAAGCCAAGTCAGTTGACATCCTCTGAGCCAGATGCCTCGCAACCTCTCGCGATATCAAATACTGCCTGTTGCCTCTATTTTACTTAAGATTACATCTCCGCGACTCGCCGATTTCGTCACCATGCATCTCCTCCAAGTCGCAATTGCAGCTGTCAGCCTTAGTGCCATCGTACTATCGGCCCCTGCCAACATAATTAGGGATACCGCCATCGTTGAAAGGGGAGATCCAGGATTTTGCGGTCCCAGCAATAACGGAGCGACAGAGTGCTCTGGTAAAATCCGCTACAAGTGTAATGGAGCGGGGTTATGGCTGAACGATGGAAAGTGCAATTGATGTCAATGCTGTAAGTATGTAGCAAAGATATTCTGGTTGAGTTTAGTGTTGATAAATGAGGCTGTAAGCGAGGGTCTTCAAGCACATGTACGTGTGGGAACGATAGCTCTTGGCCGGGGCATCGAGGGATGGTCCAAGGTAGCTTTGGTTTAGATGAGAGATGGCAATAACGGCACTTCTTTGCCAGCGATATAAATTACTCGAAATGAGTTCGTTTCAAGTTGGTTTGCCACTTTCAGAAGTCGTTCTTCTCGCGTTATGATGACGAATTCGAAACTCTTCGCAACTCCCGCTTGCTAAGGGCACATGGTCGGTGCAAGATTATGCACGGCCTGAACGAACGGTCTTTTCGAATACAAGACTAATTTCGACAATAAGATTGGATAGGACACTGTCCTGTTGAAGCGGCTTGCGAGACAGAAAGAGATTAGAGGTATTACATAATCCGCATGCACGGACCGCATTCCCCTAAATGACGTAGAAGCTTCGAGAAGTAGCGTGAAGGTTCACGTTGCTTCCTGACAAACATGGATGGATAAACAACTTCACGAACTATCCACAACATTCTAGTATAGTCGTCGGATTGGGAATACCGATATCTTACTCACACTCGTGTTGCGTTATGATGTCTATAAATGTGTGGAGTGCGGCTCCTCTACAGCCCATCATCAATTCAAAAGACCAGCATCTCTAGATCTAGCATCTACAATCACCATAGCATCCAACCATCAGCCTTCTTACTACTACCACATCTGAACCAACAAATTTTCCTTTCAAGTCAATCATATCAGAAATGGCGTTCGTACTTACACCTACCTTTGCGCCGGCCTACCAGACGCACCAATACAGCCCTCTCGGCTTCTGCAGCCCAGCAGTACGGTCACCATATGGCTGCCGAGTTGCCCGCCCTCAACCGCGCCGCCCACAGTACTCGCCCTACGGCAACTTCTTCAGCCAAGTCAACGACTTGTTGAGCGAGATTGACCGCGAAGCACAACGCCAGGCACAGCTCGAGGCTCATCGCGAGGCACAACGCGAAGCCCACCGCCAAAGGCAACTTCAACGAAAGCGCGCACTCCGCGCCAAGTTCGATGTCAAACCCATTGAGCAAGGATGGGCGGTAGAGGGAGACATCCAGGGCTTTGGCCCAGAAAACATCTCCATCGAAGTCACCGACGAGCACACCCTGAAGATTGCCGGAAACACTCACTGGCAATTCGAAAAGGCACAGTCTGAGCCAACACTACCTCAGATCGAAGACAAGGCTGAGCCCACATCTGCACCTGCCATCGAGCAACCCGCCGAACAGACTCCTGAAGTATCACATACTGAGGAAGTCGACACCACCTCGGAGGTCGAGAGCACAACAGCCGGCGTCGCAACACCAGACAGCGACACCCAATCCCACAAGTCTTATCAACCCACCGTGGAAGACGACTTTGAAGACCTCGGTGACGAGCTCTCATCTTCATCACGCCCCTTAACTCCTGTTGAGCCAAAGGAGCCAAAAGGCAAAGAAAAAGCCGTCGAAGAGCCTACTGAAACCGCAGTAGCCACCCAGCCACAGCCCGAGGCTCCAGTTCTTGCACCACAGCCTCAACCCGAACAACAACCCGAACAAGAAGAGCGCATCCATGGATCTTTCACCCGCTCCTTCAGGTTTCCCACTCGCATCGATGTAGCGAACGTGAGCGCAAGCTTCAAGGATGGAGTCTTGAGGGTGCAGGTACCTAGGATGCAAGCACCAACTGTCAGGAGGATTGCTATTCTATAGAACATAGTAGCTATGAAGATTTTCATGGGTATTTTAGCATCGGAATAAGGGAAGCATAAGCATGGAGTTGGAGATTTTCAAAGGGTTATGCAATGATGGGAAATTATAATGCTGGGTTTACTCTACTATGATAGCTATGGAATTGAATTGATATTTTGACATTTTATTACTTTGTCAAGTGTTCTTCTCTCGCAGATATAGTGTGCTATGTTATGTTTTATCTGACTTGAAATCTGACTCGAAGGAAGTAATAATACCAGTTGGTATCATGTCTCCATACTTACTATACTTGAGTGCTAACACCGAACTTAACACGGAAGGAACAAAAACGGTTGACTTACTCATTCGAGCGCTCGGAGAGTTGGCATGCTTCCGGTGTGACTGCGATCCATCTCCCCGTCTACCGTTCTCAGGTAGAGTAGATAATACCAACCCGCCCGCTCAATCTTCAAACTTTCACCCGTCCCTCGATCCATATCCACAATGACATCTTCGATACCACCCCCATCTATCGTTTGTCTCAAAAAAACGGAGCAAGAAGATAACCAAAAAAAAGAACGATAGAAAAAGGGAATCAAGTCCGCTTTTTTTTTGCCCAGGTACATATATTCCCGAACGATAAAAACTATAATACTCGGTGTCAAAGTAAGTTTTTGAAGAAAAAAAATTAACATTTCAAACTCTATCCCTCATCTTATCCCTCCCCCTCCCCACCTCCCACCTTCAAACGGTTCGATCCACAAGACAAGAAAAAAAAATCAGCCCACTTTCCCTGTTTTCCTGCCGCTACGCCACAGCCGAAATCTTAAATCCACCGGGTACCAGTTTCTGGAATACGGCGTTTGGATCATACTTTCTCGCTGCATCTTTCATTTTCCTTACGTTCTCGGGTCCATAGCTGGATAGCGGGTCTTGCGTTTTGTCTGCATAGTTGAGGTAGAGGTACGGGTTATCAGCGCCGATGCTCTGAGCGTAGGCGCGGATGCGTGAGATGAGATTTGCGCCTGCGGCTTGGAAGAGGGCGTCTTGGTGGGAGCCTTGCCAGGAGATGTAGGGTTGGTATACTGGCACCTTTTATTAATATAATGTGTTTTTCTTCTTCTTAATCTTCGAGAGTTTGATGTGATTGGAAGGATAAGTAGTTGGGTAGATAAAGAATCGGGAAGTGGAGGGGACAGAACTTACGACACAAGACTTGCTCGCCAAAGCGTTCAAGACCGAGCACGTTCCCGCCTTTGGCAGTGCTCCCGCGCCAGTATGCGGGCGGCAAGGGCTGGTAGAGAACGTAGATGCCCCAATCACCGGTTGCTTTTGCCTTCAATTTGGATAATTCGTCCTTGTAGATTTCATGCGCGGCAGTCATGACTCGGAGGTCGTTGGCAAAGGTAAGTGTGCCGAAGTATACGCTTTGGGATTGGTAGACTTATCAGCGGGATTATCCTTGTACTATACATGGGGAGTTCGGGAGAGTTTCTGATTTGCAAGAATAACTTACCTGTGAGTGGTGGCTCCTGCAAGCTCTGCGGCTAGCGACGACATGTTGCGTAGGCCTGTTGTGTCCGATGTGTTGCCTGGGATCGCAAGGAACTCCTTGTAGGCCGCGGGCCGGGGGACCGGGTCGGCGTAATCATATGCATTCAGTATCAGGTCCAAGCCTACGGAGCTCTGGTACACTGGCATAACAATGGCCGCACCTTTGTTGTCCTTGTCGATGTTGTTGGAGAAGTTGACGAGTGCTTTGAAGTGGTCTTGGATGTTCGACTGAGGGTAGACGACTAGGCCTCCCCACATGCCTTGGTTCTTGAAAGTGCCGAATGTGATGCTGGTGACGATTCCAAAGTTGTTGTTGCCGCCTTTTAGCACGGTGAATAGATCTGGACGCGTGGTCTTGGATGCAGTTACAATGCTGCCATCGGCTAAAACAACTTGGAACTCGACCGCATTGTCGCAGACCAGACCACGCCCTGGGGAGAAGTAGGATATGCCACCTCCCAGAGTGAGTCCGCCAACACCAACAGTTGATGATCGGCCTCCGGGAAGCATGAGCCCCATTGGTTCCAGGACGCCGTACACATCGTTCCACGTTGCCGCAGGCCCCACTTTGACTGTAGTGCTTGCATTATCATACGTGACGGCGCTAAGGTATTTCAGATCGATGGTTACTCCATCCTGGATATTCGAAGCTCCGACATATGGTGTATGTCCCGCGCTGCGAATAGCAAAGCTGCAAGGCTTACGCGAGCTCGCAGCTGTCAATGCTTTGACTGCAACTGCAACCTCATCCGCACTCTTGGGTTGCACTATGCAGTTGGGTGTGATGGTCTGCTGCTTGACGTCAAAGTATGTCTTCTCGCGTGTCACGTATGCGTCTTGGTTGGGATATAGCAGGCGATCCTTCAGGGACGTTGCCGCAAGCACATTGCACTGGAAGATCTGTGGTTAGTCTGGCACGTTTTCTGGTACGTTTTGGTTGGAGAATTGACTTACGCAATACTCCGCCTGTGCCAAAGGAATGGCAGCCGCAGCCGCTAATAGAGCAACAGTCATACGAGCCATCATAGCATTCGACGCGAAGAAAGGCAGTGAGCAGAGCCGTGCTCGTGTTAGAGCGCAACCGCCATCTTATATTAATAGTTCAAGAGATGTACTCTCCAATAACTTCTCCACTGTGGACATTTCAGTGGCGCTCCTATTAGCTGTGCGCCATAACCGTTCACCGACCTCCAAAGGACTTCCCGAGAACGTTCAAAGAGGGTTAGAGTCCGTAGGTGGCTTTCGGTCCCTGTAGCGAAGGAATAAGCTAATGTCGGTGGCAATACGGCATGTGCTTTTGCCTGGTTGCCAATAGCAGGTTGCAGGGACTAAGAACGCATAAAGGTCGCACCATACATTCGTCGAGGCTCAGTTAGCGACGCAGCTAGTGACCTATCAGCTAGGGGTGTTGCACCAGATGGCATGATGCGTATACATAAATTAACACAGGGATGCTAGTCAAGAAATGGCGTGTTGACCGGAGCCCAGACAGTATTTACCAGCTTGATGGGTTGCATCGTGCTGGAACAATAGTAGTCCGCGCTACACGTCTGGCATGCTGAGTCCTTGCATGATGTTCTTGCAGTATGATTGGGAGTTCGGGTTACGGTTGTCGATGAAGCCGTCCTATCCATGTCACTATGTGGCACAGTCGCGTAGGTGTTCAACCACGCCATGCCATCGACCAATCAAAGCGCTTCCGTCGGCGCTATTCGTCCATGCGGCTATTGACCAATATCTTACCGATTTGGTAGTTACAGCGATCATCCGAGACTCTTAAACCGACCTGCAATATGCCAGGAATATTCCTGGAATGTTCCTTCCCTCGGAGAAATGACAATGCAGAAGGGGCCGCCCGGGTTTCGTTCTATAGAGCAGAGAGTAAGTAGTCGCAGAACTGAATATGAACATCTTGCTGGTTGAGAACTCCTCTGCATCTTCGAGGCTCCTTTCGCATACACGATGGATATGAACAAGCCCTTGTTTCCAGCTCCGCCTGGCTATGTTGTCAACCTTTCCGACCCCCAGAGGACAGGCGAGGCGGCAAATCTATGGGTGGGAGCAGTCGGAATGAGTATTGCTGCCTTTTTCATGGCCGTTCGTATCTACACAAAGACAAGATTTGCAAAACGCTTTTCTGCAGATGATAGTGAGTTATTTTGTGACCTCTTCGAACTTTCCATAGGTGGTGTAATCGTGGTCCAAAGTGTCTAACAGATTGTGTAGTGGCTTTGATTGTGGCTTGGGTAAGTCTGTCCATGAATTATGATCGCCAAAGCGCCTAGATCATATGTTAATGAGCGCATGAACAGTTTTTCTCAGTTGCAATCCAGGTGATTATACTCGGTATGTTTCCAAGACTATGTTCGCATTTGCGTAAGCTAACTGCCGTCCAGTGCAGTATCGGGGAGGAACACTCGGTGTTCACATTTGGGAACTGAGCGGGAACCGCGTCAATTTTAGTCTGAATGTGAGTATTTCTGAGCCAGTGAAATACCTTCTTTACGCTGAATCTCATGCAGTTGGTCAATGTCGCTAGCATCCTCTACTGCCCCTTTCTGGCGAGCGCAAAGCTGTCTCTTCTGTTGCTATATCTTCGATTATCGCCCCTGCGCTGGTTCCGAATCTGTGTGTATGGCGGAATGTTCATAGTCATCGGGTACAGCATTGCACTCCTCTTTCCGCTTATCTTCGCCTGTACACCTTTTAAGAGAAATTGGGACATTACGATCACAGAGGGGAGTTGTATCAATCGCACACCACTCTACATGGCAACTGCCGTGTTGAACATGGTGACAGACATTTTACTACTCATTTTGCCCATACCTATGGTTGTTAAGCTACAAGTTCCAAGGGCGCAGAAAGCGGGCTTGTTGTGTATTTTCGGCGTCGGATCGCTGTAAGTGATGCGAGAACTCACTCAAAGAGATGACAGACTTACATAGAATAGGACTTGTATTACCAGCGGAGTGCGCCTTGCCCTCTTATTCCCGATGCTCACCACCATCGACCAGACGTGGGCTATTGTCATGCCCGGGATATGGATGTGAGTAGGCTCCGAAGTTGACCTCGTATTTTGGAATACGAACTGACGATTGAGAGTAGTCTCATTGAAGCCAACCTTATCATCATAACTGGTTGTCTGCCGGCAATGCGTCTATTTTTACGCCATGTCGCACCACGTGTGATTGGAGAATCGTCATTCAACAGCCGTAAGCAAACTCGAGGATACACAACCGACTCACATGGTGCCCATTCAGAACTTCAAACGATAGGCTCGAAACACATGAACAGGGCATACAATCAGATGGAAGATGATGGCGTCAGTGTTGGCAGTGATGAAAGAGCAGCTGCAGGATGGCAGGGTGATGGATCGTCCGAGCGCAGTATCGTTGCTTCGCCGTCAGGTATCACGAAAACCCAAAGTTTCGCAGTCAACAGCGAAATTTGTGACAATGGTAGCAGCAACCAGGGGCGTACTAGTGCGTGTGGTATACACGCACTCTGAACTTATTGCTAATTCTTAGTGTACAAAACATAGACTGTTATAATGGTAAAGTGTTGATCACGTCGAACAGTCCACCTTTGGTATAGCTAGGACGAAGGGTAAAATGTTGGTTTGAATTGTTTTCGAGACAAGCTCAGATTCGCGCAAGTTTTCCTCATGTATATGTGTAGGCGAGATATAGAAAGGCCGAGAGGTGGCAGCAGATACGAACAATCTACTCCATCTAGTAGGTGAATTTCATGCCACCATTGGCGCAAATGACGCTGCCTGTTGTCCACCCAGCATCAGGCAGGCAGAGCATGCCAACAACACCGGCGACCTCCTCACTGTAGCCCGGTCTTCCTCCAGCGCCCTGGGAAGCTTCATAGATTCGCTCTGGGTCGATACCCTTTCGTGGTGCCGCCAACGGGGTGATTTCGATGAAGGGCTTGTTCAGTGCGATGAACGATTCATCATTACTCCAGTACATGTCTGTGGCGACTGGGCCTGGGTTGATGGCATTGACGGTGCATCGCTCGGAAAATTCACGAGCCCAAGTTCGCGTCATGCTTTCTAGGGCTGCCTTTGTTGCGCCATAGATTGACTGACCCTTGTATCCTAGCGAAGAACTGACCGACGACAAGTTGATGACGCGACCCGATCGGTCATTTGGCAGGTAGGGGATGGCGGCTTGCATAAGGAGCAATGGACCTCGCACGTTGACGTTGAACTGTCTGGCAAAGTCTTCGCAGTCGACGTTTTCGACGTAGTTGTTGCCGGCGACACCGGCATTGTTGATGATGATGTCGAGCTGGAACTTGCCCGTCTTGGGGTGTTGGAAGTTGTTCTTGGTGACTTCTACGAGGTGCTTTGGGCCGTTTTCCGAGCCCATGCTCGCCTGCACGGTGATGGCCTTGACACCATACTCGGACTGCAGCTCGGAAGCAAGGTCTTGGGCAACTTGGGCAGACGAGTCGGAGGTGTAGTTTATGACGACATTGCAGCCCTTGGAAGCGAGGTTGCGGGCGACTTCGACGCCAATTCCTAGGGGGGCTGAGAAATGGAGGAGCTCAAGGAGGAGCAGTACGTACCTCTTGATGCTCCTGTTACGATGGCGTTTCTTCCTTCGAGGATGCGCTGGCCCGAAGTGCCAAGGTTAGTGGAGGCAGTTCGCGTGTGTGCTGGTCTCTCGGCCATGTTGCTTTTTGCAGGAGTGCTGGGCCTAGTAGACTGCGTGGTTGTGCGTCGCAATAGTCGCGTTGGTGTGATGCGGACTATTTATGGCGGGGTTTTACAGGTGATGCGGGGTCGTGGAAACGGCTCAATAGACCTGGTGCTCGGTGGTTCCGCCGCATCACTGTCCAGTTTCTGCTCGGCCACTGTCCGACCATGACGAGAAGAACCGGTGGGCATTGAGCAGTGTAGGGTAAATGTAGAGCATGGTGCGGTGTTGTTCCGTGTGGTCTCGGGATATAAAAAAGTCGACCTGTGTGGTTGGGGGATGATCGCCAGGGTCTGAGCTACTAGAGGCCCAGAAGGACTGCTGGGGCGAGGGGCAGCAAGCAATGGCGTGCGAGCTGATTCATGCCAGCGAATTCATGCCAGCAGAAGATATGCAATCCCACACACAGCACATGGGCAGAAGCTGACTCTGCTACCAGGAGCGAGCATGCAAAACCCGAGCAGCACGCATCATTTTTTTCTGCCACTCCGAGCGACTATCAAAGTGCCCGAGTAGCACCGAACTGGGTTGATTGAGTATGGCGTGCAACAGCATCGACGACGCTAGCACTCGGAGTTTTGCACAGATAGTACCGATGTCGGATGGAGCAGCGTGCTGTGGGGGCCATGATTCGCTGCAGAGGGGCCAGAAAGACGCGCTTGACCGCGAGTTGCAGCAGCGGTGTTGTTGCATAGTCCGGCCAAGGGTGTTGTGTTGGTTGAGGCCCAGATAGTGTTTGGCGATGCACTCATCCCCGAAGGCGGTGAGGGGCATCGGTGCGCCATTAGCGGTAACCCCGCGGTGCCAGCATACGCCAGCAAAAACCATAAAGCACACCATCTGCTGCTCTTTCTTCTCCCCTCATCCCTCCTCCCTCCTCCCTCCCCTCTATCCTCCCACTCCAATTCCATCCCCCCTTCTTCCTCTTCATCGTCCCCTTGCCTCCCACATCAATCGTCCATCTCGGACACGCACATCACAATGGTACACTCATCAGTACTTGGTTTCCCCCGTATGGGTGCGGACCGTGAGCTCAAGAAGGCCAACGAGGCTTACTGGGCTGACAAGCTCTCCCGCGATGACCTTCTCAAGGAGGGCAAGCGTCTGAGGTTGGAGCACTGGAAGATCCAGAAGGACGCTGGCGTCGAGATCATTCCCAGCAACGACTTTGCTTTCTACGACCACCTTCTTGACCACATTCAGCTCTTCAACGTAAGTCTTTCTTGTCCCCGACCTTGGTGTTGCCTTTTCTTTTGCTAACAATCCCAGGCTATCCCAGAGCGTTACTCCAAGCACGGACTGCACAAGCTCGATGAGTACTTCGCCATGGGCCGTGGCCACCAGAAGGATGGCGTCGACGTTCCCAGTCTGGTAGGTCAACTGTTTCTCAGTCAACAAGGCATTGCTAACATGCTTGCAGGAAATGGTCAAGTGGTTCGACTCCAACTACCACTATGTCAAGCCTACCCTCCAGGACAACCAGACTTTCAAGCTTGCTGAGAACCCCAAGCCTGTGGTTGAGTTCCTCGAGGCCAAGGAGGCTGGCATCACCACCCGCCCCGTCCTCATCGGTCCCGTCTCCTTCCTCGCCCTCGGCAAGGCCGACCGTGGCCAGTCTGTCGACCCCATCTCCCTCCTCGACAAGCTGCTGCCCGTATACGTTGAGCTCCTCAAGAAGCTGAAGGAGGCTGGTGCCGAGCACGTCCAGATCGATGAGCCTGTCCTCGTCTACGATCTGCCTCAGAAGGTCAAGGATGCTTTCAAGCCTGCCTACGAGAAGCTTGTTGGCGCCGACCTGCCCAAGGCTGTCATTGCCACCTACTTTGGTGACGTTGTCCACAACTTCGATGTCTTCCCTAGCCTCCAGGGAGCTGCTGCCATCCACGTCGACCTCGTCAGGAACCCTGAGCAGCTGGAGAGCGTCATCAGCAAGCTTGGCTCCAACCAGGTTCTCTCTGCCGGTGTCGTTGACGGCCGCAACATCTGGAAGACCAACTTCAAGAACGCCATTGAGCTTGTCGAGACTGCTGTCCAGAAGCTTGGCAAGGACCGTGTCATTGTCGCCACCTCGAGCTCTCTTCTCCACACTCCCCACTCTCTCGACAGCGAGAAGAAGCTGCCCGAGGAGGTCAAGGACTGGTTCTCCTTTGCCGTCCAAAAGGTGTCCGAGGTTGTCGTCATTGCCAAGGCTGTCAACGAGGGCCCTGCTTCCGTTCGTGAGGCTCTCGAGGCCAACGCCAAGTCGATGCAGTCTCGTGCCTCATCTGAGCGCACCAACAACAAGGCTGTCAAAGACCGCCAGGCTAGCGTGACCCCCGAGCAGCACGAGCGCAAGTCTGCCTTCCCTGAGCGATATGCCCAGCAGAAGACCCACCTCAAGCTGCCCCTCTTCCCCACCACCACCATCGGCTCCTTCCCCCAGACCAAGGAGATCCGTATCCAGCGCAACAAGTTCACCAAGGGTGAGATCACCGCTGCCGAGTACGAGAAGTTCATTGAGAAGGAGATTGAGGAGACTGTCAAGATCCAGGATGAGCTTGACCTCGATGTCTACGTCCACGGTGAGCCCGAGCGTAACGACATGGTGCAGTACTTTGGTGAGCGCCTTGACGGTTATGTCTTCACCACCAAGGGTTGGGTCCAGTCTTACGGATCCCGCTGCGTCCGACCTCCGATCATCGTCGGTGACATCTCTCGCCCTGCTCCCATGACTGTCAAGGAGTCCAAGTACGCCGCCTCGGTGTCCAAGAAGCCCATGAAGGGTATGCTTACTGGACCTATTACCTGCCTGCGATGGTCTTTCCCCCGTGACGATGTCCACCAGTCTGTGCAAGCTCAACAGCTTGCTCTCGCTCTCCGTGACGAGGTCCTCGACCTTGAGGCTGCTGGCATCTACGTCATCCAAGTCGACGAGCCCGCCCTCCGTGAGGGACTCCCTCTCCGTGCTGGCACTGAGCGCGAGAAGTACCTTTCATGGGCCGTCGACTCTTTCAAGCTTGCGTGCGCTGGTGTCCAGGACTCCACCCAGATCCACTCGCACTTCTGCTACTCCGAGTTCCAGGACTTCTTCCACGCCATTGCTGCGCTCGACGCCGATGTTCTGTCTATTGAGAACAGCAAGAGCGACGCCAAGCTCCTCAAGGTATTTGAGGACAAGGCGTACCCACGCCACATCGGCCCCGGTGTGTACGACATCCACTCGCCTCGTGTTCCCTCCGAGCAGGAGATCAAGGACCGCCTGTCTGAGATGCTCACATACCTCAAGCCCGAGCAGCTGTGGGTCAACCCCGACTGCGGTCTCAAGACCCGTCAGTGGAAGGAAACCAAGGCTGCGCTGATCAACATGGTCAACGCTGCCAAGTTCTACCGCGAGAAGCACGCGGCTTAAATTTCTTCTGCCATTTGGCAATCCCTTTGCGGCCGTGTTTCATCAACGCGGCCGCGTCGAGTAGCATATCAACTTGCTCTCGTGTAATGTGTGTGTAATGAGTTTTATGATACCCAAAAGTTCAACCTGCATCATGGGTCGTTGAGCGGTGCAAAAGAAAAGCAGATTGTGTATGGATAGGACGGACATGGGTGTCCGGCACAACTAGCTCTGGCGTTTGTTTTATTGGGAATGTTTGCGACACGGGTCGCAGGGTCGATTGACCTGGACAGATAGATGTGTGTATGTAGTATAGCCAGTGAAGAATGAGACGATAAGTGTCTTCTGGCACAAGCCGAATATGAAAATATACAGGCAGATGCATCAATCATTGTCATGTATCCACTGTGTGTTTGTTCCCGATGATGATTTACTTTTTGCTACACGGCTTGGTCAAAAGGGATGGGTGAATGGGGAGGCCAAGTAGCTGTTGTTGCTGTTGCCTGGACAGCAAGAGTGTACTTCACCATTTCGGCAGCCGAGTAGACGAAAAGCCTGACGGTAGCGAAAAGGGCGCTTGTTGGAGTTTGGATATCCTTAGATGATCACGAAACGCTGATGCGATGACAATACGGAACTCGTTTCGCCGTAATTTCAAAAAGAAAAAAAAAGTCAAAAAAGGTTAAGATAGGTTATAGAGTTTAAAATCTACAACCGCGGAAATTAATTTGTGGTTCTCATAAACACGTGAGGTCTAGCGTGTCCCATTACTGCTTACAATGTGAGCGGGATATCAACGGCAGAGGTCGTAATTAGGTTAGTTCTTACCATGAGATGATGTCTGACATGTCCCGTTACGATTGTAGCCTCATCTTCTCTCAGCTCGGGCCTCGATAACTGATATATGTTTCGCTGCCTAACGTTCTGTCTGAAATCATAGCGAGTTTTGCACCTTTTGATCCCAACAGAACAATCAAAACTCCTACGTTTTACACTTACTATACCACACAATCAAAATGAATCATTTTTACCTTCTCCTTTCGATGGCTTCGGTATCCTTCGCCGAGGTAGCAGTCGATTGGTCGATGACAGGAGTCGATATACTCAATCCCACCACGACCTCAAACACCAAGATTAGTGCCCGAGCATTTCCTCTTGTACGGAGGAACCTTGGCCAAGTAGCTTGTGCAGCCGACACCCGAACCACCGTTGACGCACACACCCACACTCGCCGTTACAACTACCGAACCAACCTTCTCTCAGCCGTGTGTCAAAACGACATCGACTACACCGCGCGCTGCCAAACCGTAATCCCCACAAACAACCGCGCCATCATCACGCACCAAGAAAAATGCGCCGCCGACGAAGTCTGCCAGCAAGTCTCCTACCGCAACTTTCTCGGCCAAACCTCCAGCGAAGTCTCGTGCGTGGAGAAATATACGCTGCCGAACAACCAATTCGAATGGTCCACGGACGCCTCGTCCGTTGACGAGAACCACTGTGGTCCTGGCTTGAATATAGTCCGTGAAGAGGACTCGCTCACAGTCAGTGTTCAGTTTTACGGTGGCAATCCTAGTTCGCATGCGAGTAGGAAGTGGGTGCATGAAG